ATACACCCAACAACAACACAACACCAATTGTGACATACGTAATGACATTCTGTATTCATTCTGTAGTATGTGTATGTCATGTTTCTATGTTATTAACCCTTTGACTGTCGAGATTGTATATATACGTCTTACGAGGTACCGTGTTTGACGTATATATACTCATAAATTCTAGCAGCTTCAAATCAAGCAGGAGAAAGCTGGTAGGCCCACATGTGAGAGAATGGGTCTGTGTGGTCAGTGTGCACCATATAAAAAAATCCTGGAGCATGCAGTGCATAATAAGAAAAAGAAAACTGACCGTTTTTTTTTAATTAAAATGCTGACTTTGTGGTCTATTTTCGTATAGTATTTATGGTTGTATTCTCTTTTTCTTGGTCTCAATTGATAGAATGGAAAACATATTATAGAAATAGAGGTGATTTTGATTGATTTTACTATAAAAAGAACCTGGAAATGGAGCTCAAAATAGGGGAAATGTTTGATTTTTTGCCGATGTTCAAAAGAAAACAAATGATTCATTGTCCAATAAATGTCCAACTAGCCATTCTGATAGGGCAGTCATGAATGGGTTGATGTTATTTATACAATTTTTTCAGTATTGCAGTAGTCTGCATAACAGTAAATCTTCTATTTTTTTTTGGGAATAAAAATTCAAAATAGAAAGCAAGAGTAATATCAGAGGGGCCTGGAGATGTGACTGATGAACAAAGAAAGTGTTATTTTAGAGCCAGGAATGTCTGCATTGTTCATTCTGGACCTTATTTTGAAATTGTCATATTTTTTAATTTTCGTTAAATTGGCCAAATTGCAAATTTCTGACCACGTTATTGAGCAGTTGAAATCGGTAAATGGGCAGTTTCTTGTACTCAGTCGATAAAAAAAAATAGATTTCTAAAAAAATAGTTATGAGTTTGGTCGACTGGAACAATGGAATTAGCCAAAAATAGGGCTCAAAGTGGGCGAAATCACCGAATTGTAAATATCGCTGAGGTCGCTCACTTTGTGAGAGCGTAATTCCGTCAGTTTTCCATCAGATTTCGTGTTTTTGGTGTCATTATAATCGGGAAAAGATTCTCTATGGTTTCATAAGAAAAAATAATTTTTTTTTTTTTTAAATTTTGCGACACCAGGAGACACTTCAGGATTGGGGGTTGCTACAGTCAAGGGGTTAATATTGTTTATTATGTCATATTAGATGAATTGTGATAGATAAATAAGCCGTATAGAGTTGATATTGGCATCATATTGAAGGAGTATTTTCTTCTGTCTCCTAACAATACCTTTCTCCTGCCTTCAATAAAGGTATGTAATAGTGATTTAAATGTTCATTTATCCATTTATTTAGTCACTTTATTTAGTTCTCATTGTTTTATGTATGTAAAACTGTAGTTAATCTTTAAAAAAAAAATATTTTTTTGTTGATATTTTTGTCTGGAACTGATTAATTGTATTTACATTAATTTTTTTTTTTTTTTTTTTTTTTTTTATCACACTGGCCGATTCCCACCAAGGCAGGGTGGCCCGAAAAAGAAAAACTTTCACCATCATTCACTCCATCACTGTCTTGCCAGAAGGGTGCTTTACACTACAGTTTTTAAACTGCAACATTAACACCCCTCCTTCAGAGTGCAGGCACTGTACTTCCCATCTCCAGGACTCAAGTCCGGCCTGCCGGTTTCCCTGAACCCCGTCATAAATGTTACTTTGTTCACACTCCAACAGCACGTCAAGTATTAAAAACCATTTGTCTCCATTCACTCCTATCAAACACGCTCATGCATGCCTGCTGGAAGTCCAAGCCCCTCGCACACAAAACCTCCTTTACCCCCTCCCTCCAACCTTTCCTAGGCCGACCCCTACCCCGCCTTCCTTCCACTACAGACTGATACACTCTTGAAGTCATTCTGTTTCGCTCCATTCTCTCTACATGTCCGAACCACCTCAACAACCCTTCCTCAGTCCTCTGGACAACAGTTTTGGTAATCCCGCACCTCCTCCTAACTTCCAAACTACGAATTCTCTGCATTATATTCACACCACACATTGCCCTCAGACATGACATCTTCACTGCCTCCAGCCTTCTTCTCGCTGCAACATTCATCACCCATGCTTCACACCCATATAAGAGCGTTGGTAAAACTATACTCTCATACATTCCCCTCTTTGCCTCCAAGGACAAAGTTCTTTGTCTCCACAGACTCCTAAGTGCACCACTCATTCTTTTCCCCTCATCAATTCTATGATTCACCTCATCTTTCATAGACCCATCCGCTGACACGTCCACTCCCAAATATCTGAATACATTCACCTCCTCCATACTCTCTCCCTCCAATCTGATATTCAATCTTTCATCACCTAATCTTTTTGTTATCCTCATAACCTTACTCTTTCCTGTATTCACGTTTAATTTTCTTCTTTTGCACACCCTCCCAAATTCATCTACCAATCTCTGCAACTTCTCTTCAGAATCTCCCAAGAGCACAGTGTCATCAGCAAAGAGCAGCTGTGACAACTCCCACTTTGTGTGTGATTCTTTATCTGTTAACTCCACGCCTCTTGCCAAGACCCTCGCATTTACTTCTCTTACAACCCCATCTATAAATATATTAAACAACCACGGTGACATCACACATCCTTGTCTAAGGCCTACTTTTACTGGGAAATAATTTCCCTCTTTCCTACATACTCTAACTTGAGCCTCACTATCCTCGTAAAAACTCTTCACTGCTTTCAGTAACTTACCTCCTACACCATACACTTACAACATCTGCCACATTGCCCCCCTATCCACCCTGTCATACGCCTTTTCCAAATCCATAAATACCACAAAGACCTCTTTAGCCTTATCTAAATACTGTTCACTTATATGTTTCACTGTAAACACCTGGTCAACACACCCCCTACCTTTCCTAAAGTCTCCTTGTTCATCTGCTATCCTATTCTCCGTCTTACTCTTAATTCTTTCAATAATAACTCTACCATACACTTTACCAGGTATGCTCAGCAGACTTATCCCCCTATAATTTTTGCACTCTCTTTTATCCTCTTTGCCTTTATACAAAGGAACTATGCATGCTCTCTGCCAATCCCTAGGTACCTTACCCTCTTCCATACATTTATTAAATAATTGCACCAACCACTCCAAAACTATATCCCCACCTGCTTTTAACATTTCTATCTTTATCCCATCAATCCCGGCTGCCTTACCCCCTTTCATTTTACCTACTGCCTCAAGAACTTCCCCCACACTCACAACTGGCTCTTCCTCACTCCTACAAGATGTTATTCCTCCTTGTCCTATACACGAAATCACAGCTTCCCTATCTTCATCAACATTTAACAATTCCTCAAAATATTCCCTCCATCTTCCCAATACCTCTAACTCTCCATTTAATAACTCGCCTCTCCTATTTTTAACTGACAAATCCATTTGTTCTCTAGGCTTTCTTAACTTGTTAATCTCACTCCAAAATTTTTTCTTATTTTCAACAAAATTTGCTGATAACATCTCACCCACTCTCTCATTTGCTCTCTTTTTACATTGCTTCACCACTCTCTTAACCACTCTCTTTTTCTCTATGTACTCTTCCCTCCTTGCATCACTTCTACTTTGTAAAAACTTCTCATATGCTAACTTTTTCTCCCTTACTACTCTCTTTACATCATCATTCCACCAATCGCTCCTCTTCCCTCCTGCACCCACTTTCCTGTAACCACAAACTTCTGCTGAACACTCTAACACTACATTTTTAAACCTACCCCATACCTCTTCGACCCCATTGCCTATGCTCTCATTAGCCCATCTATCCTCCAATAGCTTATGGGAAATATTATTTTGCTTTTAGGCCATTTCGCTTTTAGGCCGAGCTTCTGGAACAGATTACGGCCGAAAAGCGAGGGTCCACTGTATATTACTTGTGGGTAGGGTGGGATGACCTGCCTGGCTACCATACCTACCACACCCAACTTCTTACAATAAACGCTACTCATTCTCATCCTACATTAAGACTACAAATATTTTGAGGTAAGTAATGAGTGCACTGTGTGTGTATTTTACTTTTTATTGTTTTTAATGCCTAGCTCTATTGCTAACTTAATATATATATTAGTGTAAATTTGTTATCTGGTATTTATACACATTTATAAGTGGAAAAAAATGGCGTTTTGCTTTCCAGCGATGTCCGCTTTCTGGTAGTAGCCTGGAACCTAACCTGCCGTATAAGTGGGATCTTACTGTATATGTATTTTATCGCTCTGGGGAGCTTTAAATGTCGTATTATATTACGTGTGGATGGGGTGGGGTGGACTGACCTAGCTGGCTACCATACCTCCCTCACCTGACTTCCTACAAATAAATATGACTTACCTCTTACCCTACATGAAGACTACAAATATTTTAAGGTAATAATGGGTATACTGTGTGTGTATTTTACTTTTTGTTGTTTTTAATGCCTAGTTCTATTGCTAACTTAATAAACGTTAGTGTAAACTTGTTATCTGGTATTTATACGCATTTATATGCTTTATATGCATTTATATGCTTTCCAGTGATGTCAGCTTTCTGGCAATAGCCTGGAACCTAACTTGCCATATAAGTGGGTCCCTACTGCACTCCTTTACCGATGACCTGGACTTACGACAGGCTCTCTGACCAGCATGCATACCTAAATAATGTAAATTAGAGCTGATTTCCTATATTCTGTGTATTACAGCATACAGTACACTATTGTATAAACATTTAAAAATATACTAAAAATGTTATAAATGGTCCAAAGGTGACAATAAAACAATTTTAGAGATGGTTTACACAAACCCACTACCATTATAGTATGCTCCTCACTTAGCGATGAATTCATTTACTGATGTGGTCTTAGGAACGGAACTCCGTTGTTAAGTGAGGAGAGGCTGTACATGTTCTTCTAGTTTAAGTTTATTGAAAGATTATAGTTGATTATTTTGTAATTCTGTTTTCGATATCATTTGTTTCTTTTTGCAGGTCATCATGGCACCAGAGGAGTTACATTTATAGTGTCAATACTACCGGTCATCCTGACACCAGAGTAATTGCATTATAGTATCAACATTAGTGTCATAAATTTCATGTAAGTGACATAGGTACTGTTAATCCCACAATCTTGACAGTCAGTGTTAACACTTATTCTCATCATTTAGATTTTGTTACATGCATATTGTCTCTCAAACAAAAACTTTTTAAAAAGAATCCTATACCTGTAGTAGCATCAGCTTGAAGTGTGTGTAAGTTATTTCTTGCTTCAGAGAAAATATACTGAATTTGTTTGATGTTTTAGCAAATGACAAGTGCAATGTTAGTGCTATAAATGTTAAATGAATAACTGCTGTTATAGTGAGTGTACTGTTTATGTGATCATTGTACACTAATAATAAATATATAACTAGCATTATAGTGAGAGTACTATTTATGTGACCATTGTGCACTAGTAATAAATACATAACTAGTATTATAGAGAAGAAACACTGTGTGTGACGATTGTTCACTAGTAATAGAAGTAACTGCATTCTATTTAGTAAATAATTCCCATTCTGTCTTATTGCTCCATCTCACTTTTTCTCCTCACTGCTCTCTCTCACTGTCAAATACCTGTATCATCATAGTGCTCTAAGACATAATAATTTGAATTAATTTCATTTTCTCTCCCTAACATTCCAGCATTTTACAGTCAGTTTGCCATACTGCATCTGACATTGGTTAAACCTCCTGTTTCAATAAATAATTAAGCTATATACTATGTCATTTATCAGAAAAAAGATAAATGTTGTATCTGAAGAAGATGCAATGTATGTGGGTAACTTCTTGAGTCATTTGTATTATCCCTGATTTTGTCATATCAAATTTTACATTAATTTTTTTTATTTTTATTATCACACTGGCCTATTCCCACCAAGGCAGGGTGGCCCAAAAAAGAAAAACTTTCACCATCATTCACTCCATCACTGTCTTGCCAGAAGGGTGCTTTACACTAGTTTTTAAACTGCAACATTAACACCCCTCCTTTACATTAAGTGAGCTTTATATGTACTCAATATACATTTTAATTATGCTTGTCACATGTCAGTTAACATAATGTAAGATCATTGTAGCAATAACTTGAGTGTTTATGAAGCATCAAGACTGCAATAAAGTGAAAAAAGCATTCAGTCGTTTGTAGCTTGACTTTTGTAACGTACTTGAGAGTTTATACCAATAAAATTTTTATCAGTGTACATTGTTTTAAAACTGATTTGACAGCTTTAGCAACAAATATTTTAATTCAAGTATGTACTATATTTAAGTGTTCTTCCAGGTGATCAGCTTTTACATCACCCTTATGGGTTTATTGCTTGCCTTTTTTATAGTATAACCATACAGTATTAGAGATTTGTTGGTTGGCAGTGTAATGAAATACTGTCAAAAATTAATTTATGATTCATATTGAAGATTATTATGTCAGTTTTCACCATGGCTAAAATAGTAAAAAAAAAAAATAATTTAGAGGAAGGAACATAAATTATAATTCACCCAGAAGATTATTAAGTCATTGCTCATTATGTCTGAAATACTTGGAAATGAATGTATTCAAGCATCACAAATTCAGGTTTACTCAGAAGACAAACTACGTCAGTATTCACAGTACCTAAATGAAGTATCTCAAAAATCTCAATGCGAATCTCTGATGAATATTCATAAAGGCAAAACATTTCATTGTTCAGTGTGTCTTATAAAATTTTCCCAAAAATCTTGTTTAGAATTGCATGTGAAAAGTCATACTGGAGAGAAACCATATCATTGCTCAAAGTGTTTAAAACACTTTTCTCTAAAATCTTGTTTAGTAAAACACATGAGAATTCACACTAGAGAGAAACCACATCAATGTTCCGTGTGTTTAAAAACCTTTTCCTTAAAAAATAGTTTAGTAAATCACATGAACATTCATTATAGAGAGAAACCATATCATTGTTCAGAGTGTCTAAAAGAATTTTCCCTAAAGTCTAGCTTGTCAAAGCATATGAGAATTCATACGGAAGAAAACCCATATCGGTGCTCACAATGTTTGAAAGAGTTTTCCCTAAAATCTGGCTTATCAAAACATATGAGAATTCATACTGGAGAAAAACCATATCAATGCTCAGAATGTCTAAAAGAGTTTTCAGATCAGTCTTATTTAGTTAAACACATTAGAATTCATACTGGAGAGAAACCTTATCAGTGTACAATGTGTTTAAAAGACTTTACCCAAAAATCTTGCTTGGTAAAACACATGAGAGTTCATACTGGAGAGAAACCATATCAGTGTCCAGAGTGCCTAAAAAACTTTTCCCTAAAATTTAGATTAGTAAAACATATGCGAATTCATACTGGAGAGAAACCTTATCAATGTTCAGAGTGTCAAAAAAAGTTTTCAGATAAACCTTATTTAGTAAAACACATGAGAATTCATACTGGAGAGAAACCACATCAATGCTCTGTTTGTCTGAAAGACTTTTCAGGTAGACATTATTTAGTACAGCATATGAGAATTCACACTGGAGAGAAGCCATATCAGTGTTCAGAATGTTTAAAAGACTTTTATCTAAAGTCTAGTTTGTCAAAACACAAGAGAATTCACAGTGGTGAAAAAACATATCAGTGCTCTGAGTGTCTAAAAGAATTTTTAGATCAATCTCATTTAGCAAAACACATGAGAATTCATACTGGAGAGAAACCTTATCTTTGTACAGTATGTCTAAATGACTTTTCCCAAAAATCTTGTTTAGTAAAACACATGAGAGTTCATACTGGAGAGAAACCATATGAGTGCTCTGAGTGTCTAAAAGTCTTTTCCCTTAACTCTAGATTAGTAAAACACATGAGAATTCACACTGGAGAGAAACCATATCAGTGTTCAGAGTGTCAAAAGAAGTTTTCAGATAAACCTTATTTAGTGAAACACATGAGAATTCATACTGGAGAGAAACCATATCAGTGCTCTGTGTGTCTAAAAGACTTTTACCTAAGCTCTAGTTTGATAAACCACATGAGCATTCATAGTAGAGAGAAACCACACAAGTGTTCAGAGTGTTTAAAAGCCTTTTCCCAAAAATCTAATTTAGTAAGACATATGAGAATTCATACTGGAGAGAAACCATATAAATGTTCAGAGTGTATGAAAAAGTTTTCAGATCAATCCAGCTTAGTGTACCACATGAGAATTCACAGTGGAGAGAAACCATATCAGTGTTCAGAGTGCCCAAAAGCATTTTTCGATAAGTCAAGTTTAGTAAAACACATGAGAATTCATGCAAGTTAGAAGTCATGTTAGGGTCCAACTTATAAATCTTTCTCACAAAAATGTAATTGACTTGAACAAAGGAGAAGTCATATGGGAAGAGAATCTTGAAAGCATGTAATGTGATTGGAAGATTTTACAGTGTGTAATCTAGTAAGATGCATGACAGTTACCTGGAAAGATGTTTTGTAGTAAGAGGCATAAACATTACCTGAAGAAAAGTTATGTAGAAAAAAGAGTGAAAAACTGTCTAGAGAATAAATAGTTGTATCAATCTTTCAGATGTGGAAGACATCATTTTCCCAAATCTAAAATAACAGTAAATATGAGTTTTCATTAAAAAAAAAAAATTCTCAGCATAGTTATTTAGCATGCCTAGATCTGTGTCTATTGTGTTTGAAATATTTTTCCAGTTGGACCAATGATAATCTTTTACACCAAAGAACATTATCCCAGTTATAAGGTAATGTTGTTTTAACAAACATTTCAAGAACTTATGTTTCAATTCAACACTAGGTAGAGCATTGCATGACCTGAAGTCGAATATTCTCGGTGACCAGTATCTGGTGCACCATTTCCTGTTCTCTGTGAGCAAATTATTAACATCCTAATGCAGTATCTCCGAATATATTCCAGGTGGAAGTCGGTAATGTTGGATTGGACTGTGATTATAGCAGCCAATCCTGTATAATTTTTCCACACAGAGCCTTTTGTAAAGTAATTTAGTCCTATGGGTGTTTATGAGTGAGCAAGTTTCTCTCTAGTTCTGTGTGTGGTCTTAGATTTCTTTGTTCTCATTGTAAGTGTCTCTTCTGTGTAATGGCCGGTGGTGGTGACGGAGCTCTGTTCCTTTGAGTTAATTGTGGTGGTACCTTTCGGTCTAAAGCTGGTTTATCAGTCCATAGATGAACTAAACACCCTGATGAATATGATAAAGGAATGAAGAGAGCTGGTAGCTCGGTTTATTCTAAGGAGAGATGAACCAAGGAAGAGGAGTACTTATTAGCCAGGTCTGAGGTTAAAATCCTAAGGGATGCAAGTTAGGTTTAATATGATGTTGTATGAATTACAGCCCAATAGACCCTTGGAACCAATTAAAGGTCATAGAAGATCTAATTTTTATAACTCATTAGTTAACTGACTGATGTCGGAAGTTATTATTGATGGTGGTGGTCCTTTGAATTTGATGCAAGATGTCCTGCAGCATGTTGCTGAGGGTGATGAAAGTGAAGGGAGGGGTGGGTTATTTGGAGTTAATGTCTCCCACAATATTGATGGACCAACACAACATATGCTTACACAACACACATACTAGATACAATATATTGTTAAGCAAATGAGGGAGGAAATAAGGGATGATGGTTTTACAATGGACTGTATAGCCTCGATGAAAAAGACAATGGACATGACTACTGAGATTATTAAATTTGTAGTTAAGAGGCTAATAAGAGAATATCAAGAAACCCTCCCTGATAAAACAACATTTGAGGTGGGAGAAGAGCTCAAAAAATACAGATTTATAGAGATCTTCAAATGATGTACAACAAAGACAGGCTGAAGTGTACCAAAGTTGTCTTAGAAGGCAGATGGCAACAAGTGGGAGCACCTGAGAACCTAACAGTACCTAATGAACAGCTTCAGGAATTCTAGCTTAGTTTGTTTGCCAGTCAGATGATATAGGATCAAGACATCTGCTAGTGAAGGACCCATTATGGCAGCTGCAGGTACTCATAGAGATCGAGGAGTTTAAGAGAGCTGTAGCGGATTCAAACATCAGCACCGGGTCCTGATGGATGGAGATTAAGTGATATGAAGATGCTTCTGGATCAGTTGTGAGTAGAGCTCTTTAACATCTGATTCTATATAGGATACCTGTCAAAGCAGTTTAGAAAAGCAAGAACTGTTTTGTTACCTAACTGGATAATCTGGATGAACCAGGTCAGTATTGTTCAGCATTATTGCTAGGGTGTTCCATAAAATATTAGCAGTTAGATGTGTGAAGTGGATTCCACTTCAGTTGGCACAAAGAGCTTTTCTGCCAATAGATGACCTTACTCAGAATGTAGTGTTGTTAGATGCCATCATTAGTGAGAGTAAGAGTAGAACAGAACATTTATATGCCATGTTCTTAGATCTAAAGGACTATGATTCTGTAAATCATTCGTCAGTGAAAAAGGCGTTGGAAATACAGAGTACCATTTGTTGTTATTATGTAATGTCAACTTATACAGAGGCCTCTGCTAACATGTTAGGACTGGATGGTAAAAATATAGGTGTAAAACAGGGGGATCCCCCTGTTATGTATTCTATTTAACATTGTAATTAATGAAACCCTTACGGCATTAGATGATCATGGCTCACGAAATCGTAATGATACGATTGCAAACAAACCATACCATGGGTGGGGATAGAACCCGCGATCAGAGACTCTCAAAACTACAGACCGTCGCGTTAGCCACTGGACCAGCAAGCCACAATAAGATTCATCCAACTAGGTAGGCTTCTACACCATAGGAAGGTTAACATAGGCACCATGCCTATGCTAACCTTCCTATGGTGTAGAAATATACCTAGTTGGACGAATCTTATTGCAGCTAGCTGGTCCAGTGGCTAACGCGACGGTCTGGAGTTTTGAGACTCTCTGATCGCGGGTTCTATCCCCGCCCATGGTATGGTTTATTAGATGATCAGTATGTTTGGTTATTATCTGGATGTAATGAGAAAGTGACTGCCATTGCTTTCGCTGATGATGTGGTGTTGCTAACAAGAGTCGAAACAAGGTATGAGGAAACAGCTAAATGTTTTTTTGAAACATTTTGCAGTGTCCAGACTAGAAATTAATCCACAGAAGTGTGCAGCATTGAAAGTCAGAACCATACCAAATATGAAACGTGGTATTTGGATACATCTAGAACACAGATAAATGGTGAACTGGTACAAGCACTGAGACCAACAGCAGTATACAAGTACTTGGGTATGCACTTCTCTTCAGCTGGGAGTGGGAAACCAAATATTCAGAGGTTACAAGTAAAGCTGAAGTCCTTGGATGAAGCTCTGCTCAAACCTCAACAACAGATGTTCTTCTTGAACAAGCATACTTGAACATTCATACTATGGTGCTGAATGGCATCTGTCAAAACACTCTGAGGGCTTTGGACAAAGCCATTAGACAAATGATAAAAAAGCAGTTTAAATTTCCCAAGGACACCCCCATAGGTAGCTTTTATGCGCCAGCTGCTGGGGGGGGGGGGTTAGGATGTGTGTGTCTTTTAACAAGACTGCCTATACTGAGAAAGAACAGGTTAAATGCATTTCATAATGCAAATGACAAGATCATTAAGGTGCTGGCAATACACCATAATACCATTAAGACTTTAAGGTTTGTTGGTAAAAGTAGAGTGAAGAATGTGGTGGTAACATCAAGGAAGCAAGAAATGAAGGAATAGAGGAATGTGTTGGTGAACTCTGTAGAAGGTGCAGGCCTAAAAGAACATCATGTGGTCCCCCAGGTTCATAAACGGATATCAAGTGAGACTATTCTCATGAGAGGAGCAGCATACATCGATGCATTAAAAATCAAACATAATTTAATGCCAATCAAGGTGAAATGTGCTTGAGGTGGGAGACAGCTAAATACATCTGTGAAGGATGTCAGCAAAATGAATCACTAGGCCATTTACTCCAGGTATACCCCAGACTTAATGACAATATAGCCTATGCTATAGCAATGAACTGCAATGACAAGAAGCAAGCAGTCATGAAGGAACTACATATTGCAACTGCAAGCAGGACATTCAAGCCAGATCTCGTCATATGTGACATGGAAAAGAAGAAGGCTTTCGTGTTGGATGTAAAGGTTTCTAATGACACTAATATAGCAATCATGGCAGAACAATATTGACAGAAGACTGCATATTATGACACAGGACAATTTAGGAAGACTGCAAGATGGGCAACTCAGAAGCTACACTTACAACATCTATCTGAAGACAATGGTGATTTGCTATCAAGGAAAGACACAGTCTGTAGACCCAGAAGGTGTCATGTTTGGTGCAGTAATTATCACTTGGAGAGGTGCAGTGTCTGCAACGTCTTAATCAATCCTCAATAAAAACTTGAGGATTATTCTTTTTTTTTATCACACTGGCCGATTCCCACCAAGGCAGGGTGACCCGAAAAAGAAAAACTTTCACCATCATTCACTCCATCACTGTCTTGCCAGAAGGGTGCTTTACACTACAGTTTTTAAACTGCAACATTAACACCCCTCCTTCAGAGTGCAGGCACTGTACTTCCCATCTCCAGGACTCAAGTCCGGCCTGCCGGTTTCCCTGAATCCCTTCATAAATGTTACTTTGTTCACACTCCAACAGCACGTCAAGTATTAAAAACCATTTGTCTCCATTCACTCCTATCAAACACGCTCATGCATGCCTGCTGGAAGTCCAAGCCCCTCGCACACAAAACCTCCTTTACCCCCTCCCTCCAACCTTTCCTAGGCCGACCCCTACCCCGCCTTCCTTCCACTACAGACTGATACACTCTTGAAGTCATTCTGTTTCGCTCCATTCTCTCTACATGTCCGAACCACCTCAACAACCCTTCCTCAGCCCTCTGGACAACAGTTTTGGTAATCCCGCACCTCCTCCTAACTTCCAAACTACGAATTCTCTGCATTATATTCACACCACACATTGCCCTCAGACATGACATCTCCACTGCCTCCAGCCTTCTCCTCGCTGCAACATTCATCACCCACGCTTCACACCCATATAAGAGCGTTGGTAAAACTATACTCTCATACATTCCCCTCTTTGCCTCCAAGGACAAAGTTCTTTGTCTCCACAGACTCCTAAGTGCACCACTCACTCTTTTTCCCTCATCAATTCTATGATTAACCTCATCTTTCATAGACCCATCCGCTGACACGTCCACTCCCAAATATCTGAATACGTTCACCTCCTCCATACTCTCTCCCTCCAATCTGATATCCAATCTTTCATCACCTAATCTTTTTGTTATCCTCATAACCTTACTCTTTCCTGTATTCACCTTTAATTTTCTTCTTTTGCACACCCTACCAAATTCATCCACCAATCTCTGCAACTTCTCTTCAGAATCTCCCAAGAGCACAGTGTCATCAGCAAAGAGCAGCTGTGACAACTCCCACTTTGTGTGTGATTCTTTATCTTTTAACTCCACGCCTCTTGCCAAGACCCTCGCATTTACTTCTCTTACAACCCCATCTATAAATATATTAAACAACCACGGTGACATCACACATCCTTGTCTAAGGCCTACTTTTATTGGGAAAAAATTTCCCTCTTTCCTACATACTCTAACTTGAGCCTCACTATCCTCGTAAAAACTCTTCACTGCTTTCAGTAACCTACCTCCTACACCATACACTTGCAACATCTGCCACATTGCCCCCTATCCACCCTGTCATACGCCTTTTCCAAATCCATAAATGCCACAAAGACCTCTTTAGCCTTATCTAAATACTGTTCACTTATATGTTTCACTGTAAACACCTGGTCCACACACCCCCTACCTTTCCTAAAGCCTCCTTGTTCATCTGCTATCCTATTCTTCGTCTTACTCTTAATTCTTTCAATTATAACTCTACCATACACTTTACCAGGTATACTCAACAGACTTATCCCCCTATAATTTATGCACTCTCTTTTATCCCCTTTGCCTTTATACAAAGGAACTATGCATGCTCTCTGCCAATCCCTAGGTACCTTACCCTCTTCCATACATTTATTAAATAATTGCACCAACCACTCCAAAACTATATCCCCACCTGCTTTTAACATTTCTATCTTTATCCCATCAATCCCGGCTGCCTTACCCCCTTTCATTTTACCTACTGCCTCACGAACTTCCCCACACTCACAACTGGCTCTTCCTCACTCCTACAAGATGTTATTCCTCCTTGCCCTATACACGAAATCACAGCTTCCCTATCTTCACCAACATTTAACAATTCCTCAAAATATTCCCTCCATCTTCCCAATACCTCTAACTCTCCATTTAATAACTCTCCTCTCCTATTTTTAACTGACAAATCCATTTGTTCTCTAGGCTTTCTTAACTTGTTAATCTCACTCCAAAACTTTTTCTTATTTTCAACAAAATTTGTTGATAACATCTCACCCATTCTCTCATTTGCTCTCTTTTTACATTGCTTCACCACTCTCTTAACCTCTCTCTTTTTCTCCATATACTCTTCCCTCCTTGCATCACTTCTACTTTGTAAAAACTTCTCATATGCTAACTTTTTCCTCCCTTACTACTCTCTTTACATCATCATTCCACCAATTGCTCCTCTTCCCTCCTGCACCCACTTTCCTGTAACCACAAACTTCTGCTGAACACTCTAACACTACATTTTTAAACCTACCCCATACCTCTTCGACCCCATTGCCTATGCTCTCATTAGCCCATCTATCCTCTAATAGGTGTTTATATCTTACCCTAACTGCCTCCTCTTTTAGTTTATAAATCTTCACCTCTCTCTTCCCTGATGCTTCTATTCTCCTTGTATCCCATCTACCTTTTACTCTCAGTGTAGCTACAACTAGAAAGTGATCTGATATATCTGTGGCCCCTCTATAAACATGTACATCCTGAAGTCTACTCAACAGTCTTTTATCTACCAATACATAATCCAACAAACTACTGTCATTTCGCCCTACATCATATCTTGTATACTTATTTATCCTCTTTTTCTTAAAATATGTATTACCTATAACTAAACCCCTTCTATACAAAGTTCAATCAAAGGCTCCCATTATCATTTACACCTGGCACCCCAAACTTACCTACCACACCCTCTCTAAAAGTTTCTCCATTTTTAGCATTCGGGTCCCCACCACAATTCTCTCTCACTTTGGTTTTAAAAGGCTCCTATAATTCATTAAACATCCCCCAAAAAAACCCTCTCTCCTCGCATTCCTCTCTTCTCCGGGTGCAACCCAAACCTTATTAACCCCTCTTGCATCCCCCTTTTATTTAATCCAATAATTCTTGAATTTACACATTCATATTCTCTTTTTTCCCCCTTCCATAAATGATCATTTTTTAAAATTACTGCACCCCTTCCTTCCAAAAATCTCTCAAACTCCAATTTAATCCCATTATTTCCCCCCCCTGAAACCCCCCTCCCCCTTCACTTTTTTTTCGCTTAGGCCCAGACATCCCAAATTTTTTTTCATTCTTTAAAATCAGCATCACTGTTTCTTTCCATCCCCACACATCCACCAATTTAAGCATCCCCCGTTTTTAAAGCATTTCTTTTTTCTCTTTTTTTGAAATTCTACAGAAAGGGGTTACTACCCATTGCTCCCGGCATTTTAGTCGCCTCAACGACACCATGCTTTAGGAGGAAAGATTTTTTTCCCTTCCCCATGGACAATAAAAAA